GCTCCTAAAGGAACATCTAAAAGAATACAACTATCATTTCCAAGCATGAATTGAGCTGTTAAACAGTCTTTAAAACATCTTTTCTTTCCATATGTCGAATCTATGAAGCGATTTGAGAAGACGCTTTGTCGAATTCAACATTATACAACAATTGGAAGATGCCATAAGCGATCAATCTGAAGATAGTCTTGCAGCTGACTCTCAGGGTGAAATGTTGGTGCTGAACAATCTGACAGCTCTCTTTAATATGAGGACTGCACAGGTGGGCGACAAGAAGCTAAAGGCCAGCGCTGACAAATCAACAAAGTTGTTGAAAGCAATTGTCAAGTACTCAGAGCTGGTTTTCCCCGTGCTTGATTTGATATAACTTTCACAGGATGAAATCAAATGCGTCTATTTCTCCAACTCTATTGATGACGAATTCTATGAAAGCTTAGTACCAACAATTCTCATTAGATGCTTGTCATTTGTCTTTGAACAATATTCAGAGATTCAAAGAGGATTTTCTTACATTATACACTATTGTTGGCCAGGCTGGGTTCAAGGGACTTGTTCCTCTCGGTATGATGCTTTCAAAGAAGGCAGAGTTTGGATTAGATTGGTTTACTTTCCTATGCCCATTCTTCAAGAAGAATGGTGGATCGCATTGGAAAAAGCTACAAGAATCCCTGCAATTACATGGTGCTTATATCACTGAGGGAAGCGTTCTCCCATTACAAATCATATCAGATCAGCATAAGGGTATCAAGAAAGCCTTGGGCATGTTGAGAACTTGGTGTAATGTTCCAATTGAGAGTTTCGCATGCTCCAAAAACGTCGAGAGAAATCTCTTCAAGTACACAACCTCAAAGCACAGAAAGGTCATGCAATATAGCTTTTTCCAATTGATATTTGAACCTGATCCTAAAAAGGTCCCAGTAGTCCAAGAAGCAATCAAGGGGTCTTTCTTTGATAGGCATACGAAAGAGACTGTCAACAGTACTTATAATCTCATTACCGACACACAGGACTGTGCTAGAGGTCTCCAGCTTTACAATTCGGTGACTCTAAGGTTTGATATTATGACATCCAATCAATGTGAGATTCTGAATGCAGAGATGTTCGCATTTAGGCTATTGAACCCAACCAATCTCACTTCCGAAGTGCTGTTAATGCAATGTGACAAGGGCGAAAATCACAGAGTTGATGACCTTTGATTGGAATACAGTGAGACAGGTGACTGGAAATGATGCAGAAAGGAATGACATGAGCGACTCTGTTGATGAAGAGGAAGAACCAGAATATGTCGAGATGCTCACAAATTACAGATCATTCCTGTGCCCAACAAATATGATCATTTCTTCTTGTCTGAATAGCAAAGAGACTAGTGAGACTGTTGATAGGAATTCGCCTGGAACAGATGTGAAGCATTACAAGCATAGTATATTGTGGGATTGTGATTTGTCTCTTCAAGAGCTTTTAAGGGTGCTGCGAGTCTATGCTAAGAAGATGAGGAGACGTGCTTCGCTTGTCAACTTTGATGCTTATGTTTATCATCAATTGCGAGTCAGAACAGCCGTTGTTACTGAGAAGTGATGCACCGTCTCAAAAGAGGGTCAAAAGTAAGTAAATTCTACGTACAGTTGTTCCCATTGTTACCTTCAAGCGTATACAGTCTTCAAATGTCCTCATATTACTTGTGTGAAGATGAGAAGGACCCTCAACGGCCAAGCCCTTATCCCATCAATGCCACGACTTGCGAAGGAGATTATCTATGAAAATAGTAGAAAGAAGAATGGAAAGAGGCACTCCAGTAACAGACCACCAATATTCAGATACCAGAGCAGTTTTTCATAGGCCAGTAGATGTATCATACGGAAGACGTCATCTCAAAGTTCCAGTTCAATGGTGAAGACATTCAGCAAAGAATTTCTACTGAAGGCAACTGAAGTATTAAGAGGTTATTACGATACTGTGATGATGATCAAAAAGATCTTTAAGAAGAGGCAAATGTTCGCATATGTTTCCAATAGAATTGATTTCAATATTGTAAAGACGAAGAAAGAACAACCAAGAATGTCAGAACAGAAGAGGAACTACAAGACTAAAAAGCGTATGGAAGACGCTGAGGCAGATCAAATGAGTCCACAACTAACACGATGTGGCTTTCGTACAGACTCCTCTCGAAGTACTATAATGATCAATGTGTCTTTCATGATTCTTCAGTTGTATTAACCAACCATATTTCACCAGAAGAATGCGACAGTTCCCCTCTTCTATCCATAGAAATGGACCACTACTCCTTCATTCCTACCAACATCTACAGCAAATATCGCATATTACTAAACATCGCTACATAAGGCCATATAACGGTGCACCCTCTTGGAGTTTGATCTTCTGTTAAAGAAGCTGTTGGAACATCCTGACGATTGTATGGAGTCTGGTGCCCTATTCATATTTGCAGATTACGATTTTGATGCTTCTACAAATGCCATCAAGGCTTATGCATCCATCAGTGCAAAGTGTAACAAGAGAATAGCACTGGAAACTACAAAGGTGTTCAAGATGGTTTGATTCACATACCATTTTCGCTCTTAGTCTAAGCTCATATTTTTGTACTATAGTTCACACCTTCAGTGAACAATATCCATAGAAGGTGATCATACAGTTATTACAATCAACCAGCCTCCCCTTCAAGTGTAATTATAGTGATAAGTATGTTCTATGAGGATTTCACCAGCTGTTCACTATTTACTGTCTTAACATGACAAAGGGTTCCCCGTGGGAAAAACCGAAGATGGTTGTATAGTGTAGTGGTTATCACTTTCGGTTTTGATCTGAACAACCCCGGTTCGAATCCGGGTACGACCTTTTTTTGGCATGTTCGAGTGCTATCAAACTGAGGCTATACATACCCGTTTTAATCACTGGTGGAAGTACCGTTGTTCTTCAATTGGCTTCGTAGTACCCAGTGTTGTTGTCCTACACTTGGAAGCGTACTACGGTCTGTGATCTTCACAACTCAACGTCGAATCTACTCTCTACAAAGAGTGGTTCGGTTCTGTTTGTTTGTAAAGGTTGTAGCATAAGCTACACAGTCTATTGTACTGGAAACAAATACATATCAACATCGATATGTTGACACGATCAACATTTGAGACTGGTGCTTAAGATACTCTGTGGTTCCAGCGAGTGAAATCAATCATCCTCATTCGAACCTTGATAAACATTTATAACGCAATCGCTTAGACCTCGCCAACCGAGCCGTTGAGTGGAACTCAGGTCCCATGACCCAGCGATACAACGACCATGGAGCCAACCAATTAACTGATGTGATCAGGATGTTGTACGTGGGATTTTAGTGGAACGTTCCCAAATTGGAATATCGATATCCTCAACCACCTCAAAAACACCACCAAATATGGCAAATTTCTCCAATTTTGGAGCTGTGATCGATATTAGAGCATCCGTAGCTTTGGAAGGGCAATGCTCTTCTGGGCAAAGTGACAGTGAGAATTCTTTCGCATTTGGAAGCTCTAGGCCAGAAATCAGAATGGACTCTGCCTCTATCCTTATTTTCTTGACAGATTGGAAGCAGAGATCGGTTAGATCCACCAGATGATAAGCATCAATTTTGAAACACATGAAAACCTCCAACAAGGACGAATTGTTGATATTCGACAAACTATCCACATCCACTATATGGTTCAGATACAACCTTTGGAGCTCAGTGGATTCAAAATCAATCAAGGGTTCAATCGTTTCGAACTTTCCAAAAACTTCCAGTGTTTGCAAGCTCGGAAGGTCCCACGTTGATGATTCCGGCCAGCATTCACAATCTTGAAGAACCAGAGTGGTCAGTTCCGGCAGCTCTTCAAGAGCCACTGTATCGACGATGGTATTATGAAAGCGTAAGGTTCCCAAATGGTTAAATCGAAAAATAACTGGGTTCCACTCGAAAGAATCAAACATGATGTCATATGTACTGAATTCAAATGTATTTCGGGTACCGTACCTGACCTCACAATTGTGTTCAAAGCACCCTGCTTTCAAATCGCCAGACCATGGGTACATGCCAGTATAAAAGTACTTCTTGTGAACGTGTAATTCTGGGATCTTATAATCCCCCTCGAATTCCCAGGGATGCTCGCATACGAAGATCACACAGAGGTAGTTGTTGAGGAGGTGGATGTTACCATAGAGGTTCCCGAATTTGCACCTTTGCGTGATATTGCGGAAATACAGTCCATAGTTAGTGAGTGGGTGGTCATGTTGCTCTTTCTGGGACGACTCCTTGTCGTCTCTGCCCTGGCTCTTGCCAACATCTTCTTCCACAGAATGGATCGGCTTATTTTTAGAACCGTTATCAGATTCGTCATCAAAGTCGTCATCAGAGCTGTATTCACAAGAGCTCGTTGGGTACATGTCGTACATCTCATCCTCATGCATCCTAAACTCCTCAACCAACAGAATCTTGTCTCCAAACCTCTCATGGAACGCTGGAATCTCCAGTAAGGTGTCAACGTCCAGAGCATCGATGTAGAAGATGATTTCCGCCACAATCTCCAATGGAAGCTTATCTAGCATAGCAAGCAAATACTGTGATACTGTGTCTAGTAAGGCCGGTGAATCACAACGCCATATGAAGTAGGTGTATAAACAGTTGTGAAGTTCATAGACTCCGGACATAATTTTCACCTCCACCAGTTATAAATTTCATCCACCGCGTGCAGAACTGCAGAGATGCTACCAATACCTCGGTGGTTTTTTCTCCTTGAAGATACCAAACCACACGCCTATCAACAATTGATATCCGTAGCCCTGTGTGTTCTGCAAAGACACTCATAGCACATTTGTATTGTATGAGGGTCTTTTTTCTAAATACACAGCCCAGTATATTGGAAGTCCTCTGGTGTAGCTGGTTTGATGAGTGTGCTTTTAACTCATTCCTTGGCTCCCATCTGAATTTGGTTGGCCATTGGAACCAGTGGAACGATTATTGAGCAAAGAAGACCACCAGAATTGTTGTGAATGACCAATTCATACAGAGGACTTATACCAAGGGGGATAGGAATGGCTCGCTACGCTGGGAGTTCAC